CAAGATCATGCATGCTGAAACTTCATCAAAATTTACTTAAGATTAATGGATATCGAAGAGAAACAGCTTTCTCTCTGGGCACCACCGTTCTCAGTGGGCTGGTTGGTATTCAAGGGAGTAGCCGGTTGCTATGGAGACGCAGGAATAAGGAAATGCAAATGTCAGCTGTCCTAAGTTGGTGCAGTTTGTTCTCGGAGGATACAGCCTGGCCGAGATAATGATTCAAAGAGCAGACCAGCTGATGGATGAATACACTGATGACTATATGGTGGAATGACTGAACGCTTTTTAATGGAGTCGCCGCCAGCAGCTAACACTCCGCTCTCGCCACGTCTGCTTTATCACCTTCTCGTCTTCTTTCATGTAGGATTTGTTCTCATTTCTATCACATTTTTTTCACAGGAGCATTTTACCCCGGAGTGTAAATTCAAGGAGTCGGTGTTCGAGAACTACTATGTCACCTACTCCTCCATGCTCTACCGGCAGCAGGCATCGGGTCGGGCTTGGTACCTGGGGCTTAACAAGGAGGGTGGAATCATGAAGGGGAATCATGTCAAGAAGAACAAGCCTGCTGCACACTTCATACCGAAGCCACTCAAAGGTAGGACTGATAGCCTTATTGACTTAAATACTAACTTAATAACTCAGAACACGTAAAAGTTTAAATGTAAAATTAAGCGTTTATTCTGATATTCCTGTCGCATGTTTAAAAAACCCGAGAAAACATCAAAGACTGTTTGCTTGTTGTTGCTTCACTTGGATTTTCGTCATCATTTTGCATCATTAACCTTCGCATTTCTCTCAGCTCGAAAGTCAGACCCTACACATCTTTTTATAGTCAAAACTTTAAATAAGAAGCTCAGCATGTGCACAAGTACGAGTTCAAGGCTTACTGTAGGTTTCAAACTGAGAAGAGAAAAGCTGTGTTTAAGAGGAGCAGCCAATCAGAAGAAAGCTGGCTTAAAGGGAGGGTGGTCTTCCTGGGTGAGGGGTGGTTTGTTTCAGACAGTGGATGCACTAAGGCCTATCATAAGATAAACAAGAATTTCTTTGAACTGTAAATCATGCAGAGGTACTCAAGTAGAGTCCAAGAATGAAAAACATGAGTCTGGAAATGAGCAGAGTAGGCCTGCTTTCCAATGAAACTTGCAGTATTTACATATTCATATATTCTGAGTTTGTCGGTGTGTTGAAAAAGAAAATCGTTTTAAGAAGAAAATAGAGTAGCAATTTTTTTTTTTTTACGTTTAAAACATGTCCAGAGGGGCTGTTTAAATATTAATGACTAAATATGCAGCGATCAGTGTTAACACTGGGAAAAAGCTATAGATGAGCTTATAACCCCCGTGTGTTCATGTAGAACAAAATAGACAGCTAATTGTGAAAATGGTTTTGAGCACCTC